CTCGACCCCTCCATGGCGGCTGCTGTGAAGAAGGAGCTGAAGCAGCTGGGAGAGAGGATGAGGAAGAAGCATGTGGAGGATCAGAAGCGCTACCAGGGGCTCTTCCAGCCACCCCGGGGGCCACGGGCCAGTGAGGGGCAGGAGAACAGGGTGAGGGGTGACGGGGTGATGCTGTGGGAAGAGGCACCCCAGGGTGAGGCTGGGGTCCTGGCAACCCCTGGGCAGGAGGAGCAGGGTGCAGGGACCAAAGAAGAAGAACAACCAGGGGCTGACCAAGCAGAACAAGGGACCCCCGGGGCTGGGTGTGAAGGGGTAGTGCTAGGAGGAGCAGTAGCCCAGGGGCTGCCTGTGGGGGTGGAGGTGAAAGCAAGAGGTGGGATGGGACTGGAGGAAGAAGCAAACCTGGGCACCTGTGGGGCAGAGCCAGAGAGCTGGGGAGCAGAGAGGGGGGCAGAGGAGAAGGATAAGAAAGAGGAGGAGGGGGGAGGGGAAGAAGAGGAAAAGGTGGAGGAAGACAAAGAGAGCCCAGTTGCAGAGATGGAAAAGCTGGCTGTAGGGCAATGTGGGGCAGCAGGGCTTGGGCAGGGGCTAGAGCAGGGAGCCAGTGGAGCAAAGGGAGCTGGCACAGGGACTGTGGCTGTGGCTGAGCCAGGCAGAGCCCCAAAGCCGGGGCCCCCCAGCAAAGGGCTGGGGGCAGCCAAGGGGCCCCCAGAGCTGGAGGATGAAACATCCAGAGAGGTGCTGGAAGAGGGGAGCTGTGGGGAGCAGCGAGCAGGCAGCAGCCAAGGAAATGCTGGAGAAGGCAACATCCCCCAGACAGCTTCACCTCTGGGGGAGTGTTCCAGACCAGGCACTCAGGGGTAGACAAGGAGCTGGGTGGAGGGACAGAAGTACCCCAATGCCCCATAGCAGCCCAGGAAGGGGGTGATTAACCCCCCATGGAGGTCAGCAAGAACAGAGAGCTCAGGGCCATGACCCTGGGGCACAGCCAGCCCTGAGCAGGGCTGGTTACCCCTGGATGGGGGAAAGGCTGCCGGACCACTGAGGATGAGGCACTGCACAGGCAGCGGGGCTGCTATAACCTGAGAGAGAGCCCTAGGGCTGGGGCCTGGCCCTGCAGTGACACAGGAATAATGCTGTCCTCACCCTGCCGCTGCTGGGACCACCAGCTCTGCTGTGCAGCAGCAACTGCTGCCTCCCTGCCCTGACTCATTGGCTCCAGCACCTTTCAGCTGAGCTCCACTGAGCTTTGCTGTCTGAGAAATAAAAGCTCTTCCTGGCACCATGTGCTGGATTTATTCCTGGACGAGACCGGCTTCCCTGATCACAGCCCACACCTCCTGCCTTGCCTTGGAACCTGTGGTACAGGGATGGGAATGGGACATTTTGCTCTATTCTTCAGATGGGGAGTTAAAAGAGGCTGCATTTCACGCCTATTTAAGCTCCTGAATCCCTCCTGTGTGAGAGTTGTCCCCATACTTCCCTGCAGTAACACCATGTCAGGCCTGTGCATAATACCACCATCCCTTCCAGGCAGGGGCACGAACAGTTCCAGCCCTTTATCAGTCCTGGGCAGGCTTCATCATCAGCTAAGGCCGGGCTGCACCCTGCGTGGCTGGGAGGGCCTGAGAGCCTCCAGCCTTGCCCTGTGCTAGTCCTCAGCTGAGCCTCTCGCTGTGCCACAGAGACATGGGGTACATGGCAGCAACTGGGGCAGAGGCACCTAGACACCTCTGGGCACTGGGGCTCCAGGGAGAAAGCATGGAAGGAGAGGACTGCTGGCCCAGCATCCCACTGCTGCCTACATCCTTCCTGGGGCTGGAGGGTTTCCTACAGCAGAAGTTCCCAGGCAAGGAAGAGGGACTGTCCCAACACAGCCCCTGTCCCAACCCTCAGGCTACTGTGTGGCCCTGAGCAGACCTTGCTGGGAGAAGATGAAGGAAGATGGTGGTCAGGGGACGCACTTGTATCTGGCGAGCCTGGGGCTCTGGTCACAGCTTCAACTTCAGATGGTGTGGACAGCCAGTGTGACACAGGGCACAGGGACATCTGTGTCCCAGCAGCCATGCAGGAGCTGTGCCAGGATAGCACAGCACCAGGAGCTGCCCTTGACTCAGCCAAGGTGCGTGGATAGAAGAGGCCAGAGCACCAATTTGAGTTTCAGTATAAATACAAATTTATTCTCTTTCCAGAGCAGAGATGGCATGAAGCAGCGAAGACTGCAGCACCACAGTACATGGTTACCAGAGCATTAGCCAGCCTGCTCCCCTCCGTGCTGCATCCTGGCTCCCAAACACAGCCCAAGCACCCAGCCTGGCTGCCACTGCTCCCTGCACCTGGCACTGGGGCCAGTAGCTCTACCCTTGTCCTGTCTTTTGCTTCCTCCAACTCCTCCCAGGCTGGGTACTCTATCCTCACTCCTTCCCATGCTCCCCCCATCCTGCCACTGGGACAACAGAGGGGTCCAACCAGGTCTTGCAGACTGGCATGTGGTCCCTTACCATAGTCAAACAAGCAGCCTGACACACAGCATGCTTACAGGCAGCCTAACACCAATACCACTGCTACTGCACTCCGGCTGCTTGCCTGGGTATGAGAGAGGATAGCAACCCACACTGCTGCTAGTGGACACTGCAGCACAAGACCCTGAACACCTGGCCCATAAGGCTTGCAACACCTAATCCTCGGTGTGGACACTGCTTCACACCTCTGCCAGCACACCAAACCAACCACACAGCCCTGTGCTCCCACAGGATGCCTTGGTCCAAACTTCCCCAAAAAGCTCACTGCCACATCCCAGCCAACAACAGCAGCCCCATCCTTGTCCTTGCAGTAAGCCCTGTTTTGGGCAGGATGCTTCACACTGGCATGCAGACCTGCCTGCACCCTGCCCTGAGGCCTCAGGCATCTCATTCCTCCGCAGCCTGTGGCCCCAGAGCACCAGGGCCATCTCAGCCTCTGCTCTGAGGCACCCAGAGCACCTGACTCTACCTCTTTCTCGACATAACACAGCATGAGACAGACAGCCTGAGGGAGCCTTTGGGACCAGGAGCCATCACCACTGAGTTACCCTGCCAGCTTGCAGGAACAGCCTCCTCCACTACCTGGTGGGACTTGCCTGCTTCCAGCAAGTGCCTCCGGCCCCTTAGCCCGGCTCAAATTAGGGAACAGCAGCAGGGCAGCTGCTCCTTGTGGGCAGCAAGGAGGTGCCCTGTCTGTCCTGCTGCCTGCCTGCACTGCTATGCTTCTGCATCATAGCCCGATGTCCTGGTGGTCCCAGGGCTGGAGCTATGGCTGGAGAAACTCCTTCCAGCAGTGCTGTGGGGATGGGCAACTGCAGGAGCTGAGGATCCCCAGGGATGGATCTGGGTCCAGGCAGGACAGGCTCTCTGTGCCACAGAAAAGGCACAGCTTCCCAGGAAACCAGGCAGGATGGAATACCTGCTGCTGGTCTGGCCCTCTGCTGCACCTCCCTCACAGCAGCCCTGCTCCAAGGCAGCACCAGCAACAGGGAAGGTGCTGGTCCCCACAGGAGCAGATGTTGGGCTGGACTGAAAGTGAAGGACAGCTGCATTTACAGTATTAGAATTTAATGGAGTGAGTCCATGAGCATATTTAAGTACAGAATATATATATATGATATATAGAAATATATGCAAATTAAATGATAAGGCTCTGTTATAAAGACCATCTCGAAATAAGGCTACTAGCTGGGCTGAAGCTCTAACATGGACTCATCCCTACTCCATAAACCTCGCAGACTCTCCCCACCAGACAGTATGTGCCTTGGCTGGCTGCAGAGCCCTAGGGGGCAGAGAGTTCAATCCATAAGGCTGGCAGCTGGATGCTGTTAGAAAGAGTTCTTTTAAAAATTGAGTGGCTCCAGGAGTGTTTTGGTGCCCGTAAACCTGGAGGCCCCTGGGCACAATTGAAGAGGAGTGGGATACTGAGCTCTGCATCCCCCGAGGGCTGCAATCAAAGGCAGCAGCCCATGAGCGCCGGGGGAGACAGGCAGCTTTCACGGCTTCAATTTTTTCTTCTGAACCTTTCCACTCAGGCTTGGACACTGTGGCTGAGCGACTGAGCCAGCCTCCTGGGAAGCCCACAGTCCCACTCCTGCATGACCTATGTTCCCCTGAGATCTTTTTGACCTGGCAAGTATTCTGCATGAACAGCTTGGAGGGAATCTGTGTGAGGTCTGCCACAGCACAGGGAGCATGGCAGGGAGAGGAGAGGGAGGAAAGCAGCCAGGTAGCTGGTTAGGAAAAGCCTCTGGCTCACAGGAGGTGTTAGATAAGGGAGGTCATACCTGAAAGAGAAATGGACAGGTCAGGAAAATAGGACTCAGAGCCACCTGGTTAGAACAGGGCTGCTGCAGAGCCAGGAGGATCCTGCTCAGGGATGGCAGAAAGTGGCTGAGAGTCTGTGTGGGCAGAAGGGGAAGCTCTCCCCCACCTCGTGTTAGTGCTGGCACCACGGCACACGCATGGGCAGCTTCAGCGAGGGACTCAGTGCTGCTCCCGGGCTGGAGCACAGAGGGATAGCAGAAAGACCAACACTAAAACCCACTGGGTGAGTGGAGCACTGTCCACACATAGATCCCCCAGTCCCCATCCCTGCTGGGAAGAGCCGTCCATGAGCAGCTAGGAGCTTCCACCTTGCCAGGTAACTGGGGCCTTGACCTCTTCTGGAGAGGGTTCTGGACAGGGAGGAAACGAGGAGGTGGCTCAAGGTGATCGCTGCAAACTTGATGCTGGCAGGTCTGTCCATCTTCACAGTGGGGAGCCCCGCAGGGTGTGGGGTCCCAAGCAGGGCAAGAGGCTGCCTTGCAGCTCATCTTGGGGGGATCTAGTTGGTCCATACTCTTGGTGGCTCTGATTGCCTCTCCTTGTAGGTGTGAAACCTCCTCCTCATCCTCTCTGTGCCCAGGCCACACACCAGTCCCAGCAGCACCATGGCAGCATAGCTCTTGGCTGTAGGTGCTGGGGGGGATTGGCCATTGCAGGGAAGCTGGGATTGGGGCAGGGCTCCGTGGGGAAAATCTCATCTGAGTGAGCAGTAAGAAACCAGAGAGGGAGATTTCATTCCAGTACCTCGAGAGTTGGGGAAGGCGCTCCGCAGCTTCTCCATGATGTCTTCCAGGCACATGCTCACTTCCTGGGTTTTGGCTTCCACCTCGTCTGCAGTGGGAAAGAGGGCAGGGGAGTGGGGTGGTGAGCAGGCTCTCTGGGCAGCCACCTCACCATCCAGCATCTCTCCAGGATGACAGGGCACAGGCAGCTTCCTGCAGCATTGAACCAAAGAAGCAGAGCCAAGAGCTCAGCCCAACTCCAATCCTCACCTGCAGCTTCGGTGTCAGGGGTGTTGCGCTCTTTCTCCTTTGCCTGACTGCCTTCAGACTGATGTGGAGATGAAGCCAACGAAGAGGCTGCGGGAAC